AGCTTGTCACTTCAATGACTTTTTGTGGGGGCTACTATAGCATGATGTCTACCCTTCTGTCTACATACGAAAATTAAAATGGAATAAAGTGAAAATAGTTAAGCAACAAATACTTCGGTTCTATTACGTGGGATTGCTACAAAGTGCTTTTCATCTCCTTTCAAAACAGGTCAGCGGCGTGCATTCAAATGCTCCTGATGAAAATGCTGTTTAACTCTTCAACGTCGAAATCTTGTTATCTAACTAAGTCCTTTCAGTTTGCCGGGTTTGCGAACCTATATTCTTGATGATTGACAGCTTTGTGATAGCACTCAGCTTCATTAGGTCGCCGACAAGTTGGCCATTTGTCTGAATACATTGCTGGATCCGTTTGTACTTCGCGTTCAGTTATAGAGATAAACTTCTCGCTCGTGTATGCAAAGGTACCTAACATCGGTACACAACGTAAAGACCATCAGTGCGTAAGCCGTGATTCAGGTAATCCTGAACCTAATCGCCGTCGTTCTCCTCAGCCGGTGCATCTCCATCGAAAAGACGATCACGATTGTGTTTACTGCGCCCTACAAATCTGAACTGGTCGATTTGTATTGGATTCTCTCCTGTTCCATTCAACCTTCCCCCTTCATAGTGACATATACCTTTTCGGAGCAGACTTCCCGACGGTAGTTGAAACAGTAATCTGTTAGTAAGCTTCGACACTTCCTTCAGTAGCAGTCTGTTGTCCCAGAGATAAACTGATTTTAAAATATCTCAGAGCCTCAAATTATAATGGAGTGTTCTGTTCGAATCATGATAATGGGAGAATGTTTCGCCCTTTCTTACTAATCGGACAGATCGACAAATCTTTCCCTATACCGGCACATTATTTTTCGTGAACATCACCGGTCCATCGCACTCGCAGCAAGCCTTTTGTTCTACTACTGTAAGTCTATAATAGCGAGTTGACGATCGTGCCTTGGAAGGCTATCGCATTCAATTGCTACCAAGTGATCTTCATTTACTTTCAAGACACACCAGCAGTGTTCATTCAAGTGCCCTTGAAGTAAATGCTCTAGAACTCAGAGATTTTTCTTCCAACTCTCATTCTTGCTGTCTAAACAAGTCTTCTGGATTTTTTGGCTGTGCACAGCAGAATTCGGGCCAACTTAATTGCCCTACTGATTGATCGTGCCCAGCCTTATTAATTCGTCGATCAGTTGGCCATTCGTAAGAACGTATTTTTGAACTTGCTTCTACGTCAAGTTCAATGATAGAGATCAATGTAGGTTCATCTCGCTTCGATAGACAGAAGTACCTAATATCAGTACCCCGACATAATCCAAGGAATCATGCGCTATGCGCAAGCCGTGGTTCCACTAATTATGTGCTGAATCGTCGTCGTTTTCTTCGGCAGATGCATCTCCAACCAAAGGATGGCCATGATTGTAATTGCGACACCCTGCAAATCTGGTTTCGTCTATTTGAATTGGATTTTCCGGTGTTCCATTCAGTTCTACTCTTCGGAGAAAACTTCTCAGCAGTAATTGAACCAGACCTACCAGTAAGATTTAGTACTTCTTTCAGTGGCATTCTGTTGCTCCGGGGATAAACTAGCTCTAAAAGTTTACAGAGTCCTTGAATTACAATGGAATCTTGCAGTCAAACCAAAATAATGGAAAAATTTGCCCCCCTTCTTCTGCACTTCTATACAGGCACATTGTGTCCACCGACCTCCATATTCGGCTGATCGCACTTGCTACTACTAAGATACTATGCCGGAAGAGATACAGTGATACCGCTTCTTCATTGTACGCAACTGCAACACAAAACTCTTAAAAATCTTGAAGGGTATGCTGGCATAGGAACAAAAGAAGGAGGTAGGGATCACTCTATAGTAGCACCTTTCGTTGTTTACAATAATTGGCCTCTTACAGAAGTAACAGTGCCTGTATTAGCGTCTTCTGACAGCACAGGATTGGATTCGCTAGCCATATAGCCACTGCCTCGGCTATTGCTAGCGCCCGTTAGCGTAGGCTCTTGGAAATGTTAGCTGGTGTCCAGTAGATAACCTGAAATGGTTCTTTAGGATCAACTCGATGATTCATGTCGACAAGGTGTACGAGAATAGAACTCGGGATCGATCTAGTTTCATCTTTACTTAACCAGGGCGGTACGTGTTCACGTACCCTCTTTTCCAGGTGCTTCGTTGTTCGGTCAGTGTATCCTGTT